TACTAATTATTATTATAAAATATGTAATAGTCAAATATCAATTAAAAATTAACTAGGTGCAAAATTAAAAATATAAGCCGATCACTAGATTTCTATCTTAACATCTAGAGCATAGGTTTAAATTTTAAATTTTTACTATGAAATTATTTTACTAAAAATAGCTGATAATCAAATTAGTACATATCTATAGGTAAGTTTTAATTTATTCAATTTACATCATAATTCTTCATAATTCTTCATAATTAATGATTATGATTATRAACATTATRTACCTAAGGTGTATAGAATAAAAAATAGACAGCATAATATTATTTATTTTTAAATGTAATAAATAACCTAATGTAGTCATAAAATGTTTTCAAAAAATTTTCTTTTTTATGAATATTATATCATAGATATCCGTAAATTTTAGTGTTGGATATGTATATTTGGAAAATGTTCATGAAATAATTGCATATTAATATTTTTATGGGTATATTAGAGTGCATATTTAGAACTCTCATAAGCATAACGCATATTTGCATTTTTTTATGAATATCTATATTTCGTGGAATTTTGATGCACATAAAATATGATTARGTTAGGTATAAATGGCAAAAATACTATTAAACAGTAATAGCCTGTTTTAAATATGGAGATGGTGTGTAGCCATGTGTGTTATAATTATTTTAATYTATCGTAGAATAGAAAGAGTTCAAACTTTGGACAAAACCCAACATACATATTGATATAATATTTATAACATCATGATTTAAATAATATTTTTACAGAGTTGACAATTTATGAACGGCTGTAATGCTTGATTATGACAGACGAAAAATTTCAATACGTTTTCCAAACAAATCAGAAATACTGTTTAGCTGTAGCTGCCAAGATTCATGAAAAAAATGTCTTCAACGATGTAACATAAAACAGTTATCAATATCCAAATCATAATAATTTGTTTATTATGATACAAACACTTCGGTGGCAGGGCTATCCGGTGATGATCTCACGACTGTATAAATACATGTTGAATTTTTCATAGTGTTCTTTTTTTGTTAAACTTTAAACTTGAGCAATACTTATTATATGTATGTAAATACGTAAGACAAACAAACACTCCAAACTGTGATATATCTCCTATATTTTTGTTACGTAAAGCTGCTTAGACAGTAYATTTAGCTATACAAAAGTACCTTTATAATATATTATACAAAAAATTACACTTACGTGCTATGAGCGAGAGCCAATTCTTTTGCCCTCGGCTGATCGACTATATAGCTATCGTCGGAGCTCATCCAAATTCTTCGAAAAGAAGTTCTTTATACGAGTTACAAAACAATGGATCTAACAACAACGAATACAGCGGAGTCAGTTCAACTGTGTCCAGTAATGATGAAAACTTTTATATTCAGGTATCTACATTAAATTTTGCATCTTATTGTTCATTAATTAATCAKTTTTAAGGAACWCTATTTAGGAATACAAAAACTAAATTACCTATATGGTAATATAGGTGCTGCCTACCATCTCGGGTACTATTTATTTTGTGATAGAATATCAAGTGATACTTAAATAATAATTCAGTTGATTTTATTAATTTTATTTCAATGCGTATTTGCTTAGAAAGGAACAGGTTAGTTAGATTTTCTCTGTTTTTTTTTTTCGAATATGTTTCCATGAGCCTGGGGTTCAGAGATTAAGTGCTAAGAAAAACAAAAATTGTTTAATTCATATACAAATAAAAATTTACAATTGTTAGATTGAATTACGTACTTGAAAGTTTACACATTTGGTCATTTGGACAAGTATATATTATATTTGATCGAAGGTACTTGCCGTTTTTCCCGAATCGAAATTCCCTAATGGTATTTTACTGAAAGTTCATAAACCTGATAAACTTGAAACTTTTTTATCCTAAACTATCTTAATATTTGAGAAGGTGGCAATGTTAGGTACTAATTATCAGCCTTCTGCTTCAAAGAATATTCGATGATCTCTGTTTCACACTAGTCTTAGTTGTGTACATAAACGTGATCGTCCACAAATTTTTATTTAAAAAAATATTTAATGCAGTAATAATTATTGCTCTGTATTCTCTACTCTTTCTTACGTAATTTTTAACATTCCCAGTATGTTTAGCTTCTGACTAGTAGTTAAGATGTAAGGTCTACACATAAATAAAACCACTATTAATTAATTATGTCATATTCAAACATCATCTCAAATTCCAATTTCATCTATGATAATAAAATAATTAAAAAATCTGTATTAATATTCTATAATAATGCCTGTATACAATTCACATTAAAACGCACTCATTTTATCAAATATCGAAGATATTTTTTATCTTTCGATATAAAATATAAGTCTKCTACCTGTTTTTATTATTTGTATTATTAAAATTACGCAATTCTTAAAATTATTACTGTTTTTCATACTTTAAAAAAAAGCGGGAAAGTGGATATCGCKCTGCCATACAGTAGGTTACAAGTTAATTACTGTAATCGATGGAATTAAATTTGAATCCATTGATCATTGTACACGAAAAACGATTTTGAGCGGAGACGGTTTATCTGTCTAGGATATAATATAGATTATTATTACTTATTAGAATACTTGATTTTCCGGTGGACATTTATTTTTTATTTTTTTTTTTTTTGATAAAGGTAGACAAACTTATAAGGAATCTTGAATTAAATTTTCAAATCTTAGATTTAAAAAGAAAAATTTTTATGAATTTCTATTTAAGATAATTTGAACATTGCCGTAATATTCACGTATTTAATAAAAATTCGAACTTAAAATGCTTATAACAAAAAATCGTGTATATGTATTTTTAATATTTTTCAACTGATATTGAAACAATATGTTGGAAGCCTTAWATTAAATTTTGAAGCTTTTTGACCCAACCAATACAATTTTATTAACATTAATAGAAAAAAAACTAAAAAAGTTGAAAAATTAAAATGTCAGTTAACAGCTAAAAACTAATTAAAATATTTTGAAAATTTTATCGAATATAGAAAATGCCTACGTAAACATTCAGTGAAAATTTCAAGTAACTGCGGTTATTTGTTTTAGAGTAACACCAAAATAAGAAAATCGCTATAAATGAGAAATCTAGTGAAAATCCAATGTTATAAAAATTTCAAACGCTCATAAAAACTTAATTTGACTTTCTGGTAGATATTTATTTTATGATAAAAATTGACAAACTTGTAAGAAATCTTGTATTAAATGTAAGATTTGAAAAGAAAATTTTTATGGATTTCTAGCTTAAAATAATTTGCGAATTTTTGTGATTTTACGTATTTTTTCAAAATTCAAACTTTGAATGCTTATAAAAAAAATTGTGACTATTTCTTTCTTTTATTTTTCAACTGCTATTATAACAATATATTAGGGGTCTTATATAAAATTTTCAAGCTTTTCAACCCAAAAAATATATTTTTATCGATATTAATTTAAAAAAAACTAATAATGATCGAAAATTGCATATGCTTATAAATAGTTCAACTTAAGTCGAAATTTTTGAAAATTGCATGGTGGATAGAATATACTTATATTAACATTCGGTGAAAATTACATGGTCATTTCATCATTTGTTTTAGAGTTACATCAAAAACTAAAATCGATTTTGTCGAAAACTGATTGTGCGTATAATTTTCCGTTTTCCCCTTAATTTTTAGTTTGTTTATCCTGATTATTTAGAAAAATATTGAGAATTTTTTATTCTTAACCCCCCCCCCCCTTCCCCTAAGTACCATCCATATTCACTTTCTGGTCTAACAAGGTACTGAAGTCGAAAATCGAAGCATTTTTACTGCCCCAAAACGTGATGATAGCCACAAAAAAAGCACACATCAGGGTAAAATCATTACATTCCTCGCTCCGCTCAGAATCTAAAATGTTAATAAAATAAATTATTTTTTTACTTCAAATTATATAATTATATACCGACCTACCAAAAATATTAACTTGATGGCTTGGATAATTTTAGAACCCAGAATTACTCCGACGGTATCCAGCAGAAGATCATAAAGATTTTATATTACCAGAAACAATGTCATATTTTTGTCAACCAGAAGGATGTGTTTCCTTCAAGCATAGCCGATCTGAATCGAACAAAGTTACGTCATTTGTATTTACCCTAACAGATAAAGATACAAGTTAGTATGATTCAGCTTGAGAAATCTAATCATTCTAATAGTACCGTAATATATTACATTTTTATTTGATACTTTTTTTTCCTCAATAGCTCGAACTAGATACGGCGTGTGTGTAAATTTTTATAGACGTGTTGGTCAATGTTTTACGAATACATCAAAGAATATCAATGAAGATAGTGGAAATAAACCACAGAACACTCATTCGTCAGTATTTTTAAGATGGTAATACTTCAATATAACTTAATAAGCAGGACATCTAATTTTGAAAGTGCTCATAAAGACTTCTTCAGTCAAAAAAAAAATTATTAATAAGTTTTCTAGTGTATCAAAATACTTAAATTATCAAGGTATAATATACAGGTATATATATAAAAAAAAATTCACTGTTAGTATAATATAAGACAGTATACTATACCTAGGTTTAACAATAAAGTGACATTGTTGAAATACAACATATGATTTTGTTTGCAGTGTTTGCTTTGCACTAATTACTTATTAGTTAGTTAAACTTAAAATTGAAAGCCCTTAAAAAAAATCGGTCACTGCACCATTCGAATCGTATACATTTCTATTCAGTCAAAACAATTAGTTATCTCTAAACAGGTGATTTTAACATAAAATTTAAATAAAAATATAGAAGTTCAGTAAGGTACCTAACACCCTCTTTTACAAGTTTTGCACTTGCCGAAAATAAAATGAGCTTTGCCATTTATTACTTTTTTTAATAAATGATTTATAAATCAAGGAAATTACCAAAAATATGCTAATAAAGTAAATTTTAAATTTTCATATCATATATATTAATTAATAATTATTAATAGGTGAATAATGAATCAATGTGCTACTTGCGTGATTCATATTAATAGATCATATGTATTTGAATATTCATTATTTTAGAATATGCTAAACTTCGGCATATTTTATAAATACAATTAGTAGTTAGATATAAATTAAATGTTCAACTTAAACTTACTTCCTAATTTAAAATATTTAATAAATTAATATTTATCTTGGCAGTTATAGCGAGCCAGCCAATATAATATCTTAAAACCAATATTTATTAATTCCAAAATATATATTAATTTGTTTTATATGCAGTCATTCTTCAACATCCTTTGGCAAATCAATGTCTCAAGATTACCCAACAGATCAATCAAGCGATACAGTTACACAAAATATTTCACCACAGCCGGTAATTGTTCGATTATTGATTTTCWTTTAAATTAAAATACTTGGAGTTTTGAACACATCATGTATTTTTATTCATAGTCAAAGAATTAAAAAGATTAGTCTATTTCATTAAATAAATGTTCATTACTAAAAGTATATAAATTATAAATGTTAATTCAATTGTCATGCCTATAAAAAATTATTAATTTTTATTGTACATTTCAGGGATCCCAAGATTTATATTCTCTTACATCTTTGTGTCTTCTTTCTCATCATCCTTTATTTTCTAGTTTTCGTACATGTTTGTTTTATTTAAAAAGCCTTATTGATTCTTGCAATAAAAAAATTAATCGTAGCAGAAAAGAAGGACATAAAAGGTAAATATTAATATAATTATATAACAGTTAACGAATGCCAAATTTTCTGTTTTATAATCATTGGCTTAATGATTCTGTGTATAGAAAAGAATGTATATGGAGTTTATTGACTGGACTTTTAACTCAATCAAATTCACCTAGAATTATAGGATTTATCAAAGAACTTGAAATGTGGATATTACGTTTGCTCAGCACTCCAGTTCCTGTACCAGGGAAGACCAAACTGGAGGTAAGATAAAATGGATTAGAATAACTATCCACGGATTTTTTACTCAAATAATTAAAAAACAATACTTTCCAAATTAATATTTAAATAAATCTCAAACACTTTTAAATAATTAGCTACTGGTTACATTAATTGTGATTTCATTAATTACTGTTTATTACTTTCCAGTCTGTTTTTAATTTAAATATTTTTGGTCAACGGAGCATATCCACAAGTATCATCATAATCGTAATTTTCCTAGAATAAATATTGTAATTTATAATGTACCTTTTTAATTTCATTCCATTATTATTTCATTTTCCCTTAATTTCTAAATAATTTATTTATATAGGATCTATAATACCAAACAATTAATTTAGAATTTAAGCATTTAACCTTACTAWAAACGTACAAAACACATCAGCRAAAATATTAATTTTTTTAAACTTTTTATTCGGTTTATATAAGTCTTAAACTTAAAACGATTGATCTATTTGAGTTCTTCRTGCGTTTACACTTTAWTTGGTTTAAGATAAATACTTACTTATACTTATAAGTTATAATAGTTGTGATTTATATTTGTACCTATAGGTTTATTTATTTTCACGAAACGAGCGACAGCTACCATTAGTCATCGCGTTACCCGACCACACGAGATTTTCACTGATTGATTTCCCTTTACATTTACCATTAGAGTTGTTGGGAGTAGATACGTGCCTCTATGTATTAACTATTATATTATTAGAAAGTAAAGTGAGTACTCTACATAATAAATATTATATCTAAAATTATTCGATTAATTATCAACTACCTTGTATTTTACTAATGTTACTATAAACTTTAGGTCGTCTTCCAATCAAAGGATTATAATGCTCTCACTATGTCAGTAATGGCTTTAGTGGCCCTTATGTATCCTCTGCAATACATGTTTACTGTTATACCATTGCTGCCTACTAGTCTACCAAAATCGGAAATGGTATAATAATTTTAAAAAAACACAATATTATATTAATATACTATTTCACTTATTTGTTAAATGAATATTTTATAATTAAATTTCTATTTGTGTAATTTTCAGCTATTCGAAAGTCCCGTGCCTGTGGTTGGAGTTCCGTCCAGTTTTTTTTTAACAAAACGAGATTTCAGGTTAGTTGAGGGTAATCTACCAATAAACATGTTGGTGTTATTGTATTACAATAAACAATCTTTTATGTTTCAGATTTCCAAAAGACGTTTGGATAGTAGATTTAGATTCGAATAAAATAACACCACCTATAGTAGTTAACCGAGAAGATGCTATACCACAGTTACCCAAATCTGAATCGTTAATTTTGAAAAATAATTTGAAATCTGTAATTATTATCAAAACGAATAAACTTGATAATAAAATAATTCATTTTTATTTAATTTCTATTAAAATAGGCATTAAATGGACTTTCACGAATAAATATTAACAATAAAGCAACAAATAGCTTTCCAGAAAATGAAGTTATGTCAACAATGCGGCCTGCRATGGAATTTTCAAGTACAGGCGAAGATATCTCAAAAAGAAATATGGAAAACTTTCAATCAAGAAGTAATTTCATAAACACTGATAACAGTGCAAATCGAGGAAACGAAATAAGGTAGTAATAATATTTTTTTATTGGAGTGAATTCTGCTGTCTAAGCTRCATACATATTATACTGACATACTTACAGAGTATCTGCTATCAAAATCGACTCTAATAATTATGTATGTAGGTACCTACTTATTCTCRATGTTTCTAACACTAATMAACATTTATAAAAATTCTTCTATTTTCATAATAAAAGATACAAAAACATTGACTTTAAAAATCAGTAATCACTAATGCTAAATATTCAGCCTTTTCAGATTAATTTTTTGTAAACGATTACTGTTATTAGGGCAACGGTTAGGTACATATTTTGTTATTACTTTTCATTCAATGGCTGTATGATGTTAGCAAAAAATATTTTATAATTGTTTAATACCTATATAGATTTGATCATTTTTTAGTAAAACCAGACTCATAAATTGGTAATCTTAAATTGTTAATATGTTAGATACACCAAAAAAAAAAATTGTTTGTAATATGTTCGTAAACATAATTGTAGCTTTTCTGTTGACAATTTTAGGAATCTGGATTTAGAAAATTGAATTTAAAATAGTTATTAGGTATAAGTTGCCATGTAATTTTAATGTATTTTACTAWACATAATACTTAGGTACTAGCTGTTGGTAAATTTTCCAATAATCAAATCATTGAATTAAAGGTTAATTAGGCATCCACTGCACTAACTATCATACATTTACTTTTCCTTCAACAATAAAATCGTAAACTTGGTCCTTTTTTTTAGAAGACAAATCTCGACGAATTCAGCGTACAACACAGTCGATATCGATTCGGTGGATATTGCGATCAGGGTGGCTATGGTTCGTTTCTTTTTGTCCGGCGACGTTTTGGCTAATCTAACAGAACATTCACGGACATTGAGGCTCTACCCTAGACCTGTAGTATTCTTTCAAATCAATTCTTTTCTCAAGAGCAGGCCTAACCCGTCACTTTTCACTTGTCWACTGTCTCGAACACAAGCAGTAGATTATTTCGCCGAATGGGCATTGACACCGAACAACGTAGTCTTCCAACGAATTCAAACCGGTGTTAGTGACCCATCCATGATTGGCGATAAGCTTAAATGGTTTGCGAATACCTTAGAGCCTGTTGTATTTACCGTCTGGCAAGAAAATTGTTCGATTCAAAATATTATGAATGCCAATGTAAATTCTGAACGACCTTCTTTGGCATTGGGTAATAGCATTTCTGACTTATAAATTAACACACAAATGTTTTATAATATATAAGAGACAAATATATAGATACTAATTTTGTATTTACATAGCTGATGGGAGTCGTCGGTCCGACAGTGACGGTAGCGATAGTAGTAGCAGCGAAGACGAGAGACCAGAAATTTATGGTGAAGATTTCAAAGCCAATGTTACTAGTGAAAAAATTCTGAAGATAGGTATTTATTATAATAATTTGTGTAATATTCAAATATATGCTGACATGCTGTAATATATACTTCTTTAAATTTTATACAAATAATAAATATTAAATATATGTATTTAGAAAGTCAAAGACTCAATATTGGACCAATAGTACAAGGAGTACACACTGCTTATGAACCTCCAATAACATTACAACTACCAATGGCATCAGACGATAGCCCAGATGAGGATGGAACCGTAGAATCAATTGGCAGTAAATCTATCGGATCCTCACCGTCCAGTAGCCACAGTGACATGAGCTCACCAATGTTTAAACCCGAATCAATAATAGTTTGTATTTTTTATTAAACTATTACAGATCTAAACTATAAACGAGTGCTTGAACATAAAAAGATCATTTTTAAAGATCGATAATTTATAATTTAATCGACATTCATGAATACCATATCAAAATAATTAAACTATATCTACCAATGTACATAAATTATCAAGGCTAGAATTATTACTCAATAAAGTTACCTACAATTTAAATAAATATCGTAATAAAAAACACTTAACTGGATACATATTATTTTATAGAATAATACCTATTTTAYACAAGCTTATGAACAAATATTAATAATTAATACATTTAATTACAACTATTATATACAATAATATCGCATTCAATTAAATCGGTCAATAATAATTTGTGTACAAAATATTTATTTAAGAATTCTGAACATTAATAATTATACCTAMAATCATCATCGTATTAATTTTTTGTTTGAGTTAATTGTTATATTATACAAATTATGTAACTAATGCATTAATTTGTTATAAAACAGAAAATAGATAAAAATATATGGTAATATTATAATTCATAGTTCAATAGCAATTCCTACGATATCTTAATCATTGTTCTTATTATTTTTAGATTAAGTACTTAGTACCTATTTATAAGCTATAGACAATAGACACTATACCTACATAAAATACAACAGCCCATTGATTAAACTTGRCAATTTGAGCACATAAATGAGAACAATAAGGATTTCAACGAGTAAATAATTTATTGAGATCGCGTGATAGTTATTGATGCGCATATTGCAGCAAAAAATATATTTAGACACATAAAAAGTAAATTACCTACAGACAGTAAAAATACATATTATAATTTTATATTTAATTAGTATTTATAGACATTTTATTTCAGTTTTATATTTAAAAATGATTTATATTTATACATTATTTAAATGTTAAAAACACAAAATTCATACCTGGTTTCTCAAAATATTGATTAACTTAAAAATCATTATTAATTTATATATTATATGTATAGAGATATTAAATACCACCATTGAATTTCATATAAGTAATAAAAATTAAATTAAATATATATTGGATCGATTGTCATAGAATAGTTACTGGTTACTGACAATCATTAAAATTATTAAAATTATTTTAAATAATAAAAATACGAACTCAAGAAAAGCCACTGTTGAATTCAGTCCTTGTATTTGACTTTCAGAAATAGCTGCATTATTTTTTATTCTATTAAATTCTTCTGCTATGGATTCTTTTACTATATACATGAAAATAAGTTCTTCATTAAGTTTTAACAAATATTCTTGAAGTTCCTATATTAATTCAATATATTATGACACATTTGATTAAAAAAATATATTACCCATGAAAAATTCTTGTTGTGAACTGAATAATAGGATTTTATGTATTCAGTTATCTTATGTCCTCAAGTTTGATACCACCTACTAACCATACTTGGCGTAGTCTTAAAAACAAAAACCCAAGGTAGGTATTTAATTTTGATATATTCTTAGAGAACTCTGAACTTATTAAGACCCAGATTATTTTGTTTATTAGTAAAATAACCTGGAACTATATTGGTTTAGACATATTAAATTTGATTTTAAATCTGCCTTAAGTAACCTCAAGTTTATCAGGCATTAAACTTACCTATTTAAAAGCTTTGTTGTTGTTAATCTGCTATCACAGTTTTTAGAATTTTCAGTTAAAAAAATTGAATWATTTCCTATTATTAGTTATCAAAATAGTACATATAATTGAAACAAATAGTCAATTTTGTAAACTTGAATCTTTACGTATGTATGAAGTGAAATATCTTTACCTCAATGTAACAATTAAAATAATTATAGCTTTTAAAAACTACAGGTTCACAATCTATAGAATAATATGATGTTAAAATTTAATGAATATAGGAATGTGCTCAACTTGCCATACTCAAATAGTCAAATTACATATCATGTAGAAATGTAGAGTACATATTTTAGCATAATATATTAATTTATTCCAATGAATTAACGTTTCATATCTTTATAACCTACTGCTCCTCCAACCTTTCACAATTCAACATTATAAATTMTAAATTAAGTACATTTTTAACTTCAAGTCATTAATATAAATACAATCCGCAAATATATTTATCAAATTGTAGGATATCGTTAGATGTAGCCAATTTCAACAATCACCTTCACAATTGACTGCAACTGTTACGGGTAACAAACTTCTTCTAAGCAGACAAAGTACAGGTGGTAGTGATTCTGCTTTAAACCATGTAGTTGTAGCACAAAAACAAAATAGTAATTTTAGACCTACATCACATACATCTACAGTAAGTTGAAGCAAAAACTGTAYACTTAACATTATGTTATWAATAAAATTATACAGAAATAAGACTTATCAAATTATGATAATTGTATTTATTTAAACATAATTTCTGGGTATTTTTTAATATTTTAGACATCTGAATTCTATCAAACATTACCAGTAGCAACAGAAAAGAAACAAAATATTATACCTAGTCCACCCTCATCAAGAAAGGGAAGTTTAAGTAGCTTACACCAACAATTGACAAGACAATCCAGTCAAAACAATTCAATATTGGAACATTTTGCAACTCAAGCAAAAGAACTTGTTAGAGAAACAGCCAGGCAAAGTAGTCAAGAAGGAGCTGGAGGAATACTAGCGCATGTAGCAGATAAACTGACCACTCAAGCAAAAAAAGCTGCAGGCGAAGCTACAAAATCTGTACATGAAGCTAGTAAAAGTGCATTTGAAGCCAGTAAAACAGCGGCTGGTGTTAGTAAAAACACTTTTGATGATTTAACATATGTYGGAAAAAGCACAATTGGTGATCTCACAAAAAGTGCAAAACAAGTAGCATCAAAAAAAGGATTTAAGGTAGGAGCTATATTTGTATAGTTTTTATTAAAAATCGCTTACCTATACCTATGTCCTATAATATTTATTAAGCTTTCAATGTCAATGTTTATTTTTAGCAGTTATTATATTATTTTTAATAGGTAGTTTTAATATAAAAACATAAACTGAAACACTAAGTCTAAGTGTAGGTATCTCCATAATTATTCTATACATCCAGTTAAAAAATAAAAATGTATTCATTCAAGAGTCCAGAAAAAAAGAGTCACATTAATATTTTCTTTACTGATGATACTAATCAAATAAAAGTATGATATTCACTAAAATTATGTATACCATACAATACCTTATGTACCTATTTTAAAAAATAATCATAAATTAAATATAACAATTTGATTACAGAAAAAAGTATAGAAAACAATTATTTTATGGTGGGTAGAAAATGTACAATACATTTTATTAATGAAAAYATGAAAATAATGAATAATTATATAGTTATATTATTTTAATTTTGAACAAATTTAAATTATACCCAATAAAAAGAGAAAATTGTAAATTGTGCAAATACATTTCAGGTATATATATTTTTGGCATAAATTGTATAGACTATATGTACTATCCGACACATTTAGGTACATTGTTGTCTAAATCAACGTAACTCTCAATGTCTGATAAATTTTGGTACATTTGACTTTGGTTATATGCGTAAGGTTGGCTCAATTAAATAATTTTATTATTTTTATTTAAGTGTAAAATAATAAAAATTATACTAATTTTTTTGAATTCTACTCTGAAATCTATTACATATGATATATTAATATAAATAAATATTACTTAGTGTATCTGTATAATATAAATAATAAACATATTACATATTATTTTGTATAGATTTAAAATTCATATTTATTTTATAGGTAGGATTATTAGGCGAATCTACGTCTTTAAGTTTACAGCAGCTGAGTTTTGATGATGAAATAAATGAGAATAATCCACCATCTAATCCAGTTTCAACCAGTTCTGTTTCGGAAATTAGAAAATCATCAGTAACATCAATGGGAACTGGTGCCACAAAAGATTTTTTTTCAAATATATCAAATGATATAAATGGATTGGCAAATCAAACAACAAGCATGTTTACTGATTTATTTGGTAAGGTTTTGCAAAAAAAAATATGTACATTTTTTCAGCTACACGGAAAATACTAAATAATAAGTATGGATTTAATGAAATTTAATATCATATATTAGGTGGTAATAAACAACAAAAAAATAGTAAATCATCGCTTACATTGCCAGTGACTAAAACTAAGGAACGGACTTCCTCTGGACCTTTTCCAACAAAAGGTAAAACCAYTTTTTTTAATCTTTTCTTTATTATAAAAAATGTTGTATTTATATTTAATGTTGTATTTTTTTATTTTTAGCCGGGCGTAATGATTTAGTTGAGAAATCTACTTTGATCCGTCACTCAAATCCAAGAAAACTAAGTGAAACATCAAAAATACCAAATAAAAAATCAGTCAAACCTAACAGTCACATGGACAATGAAACATTTTTAAAGGACGTATGATGCACCAACTTATCATTTTTAATAGATAAATGAATGTATAACCTAATTGATTGTTGTAAATCTTAGGTAACAAAACAGATTCTTGATGGAGATGGGATAGGTTGGTTGAAGCTCAGTAGATTCAAAAAATTAATGGAAGAAGAGGGCTACCGGAATTTAGTAGTTAGTAAACTTAACCGGACATTGGATAATAAAATTAGTCCAAGTGATCACATTGATGATGTGGTAATGATTTAACACTTATTTGCTATGAATTTCCATTTGATTATATGGAATTAAAATKACATTTTCTCCCTTTTAGTATATAAATAGATTTGTTTGGAAAGGRATGCTTAAAGCCTTACTAGCAATTATCCATGGATTAGAAGTATCTTTTGGTAATCAATGTGGAGGTGGTTTAGCATCTGCATTCCAAGTATTAGAAATAGCTCATACTCATTATTGGGCTAAAGACATATCTATGACTGGTTTTGAATCTCAAGTAAATGTTCACATTTTGTATTTTTATATAACATTGAACGATAGATTAATTTTTAGTTTTAAACAGATGTATTTGTTATCATAAATTGCAATTAAATGCATTTAACTCATTTAAGTAAGTGTTGGTTATTATTGAAAAAATATATTATAATCCAAAATTTTAAATTGCAATCAGATAAGTACATAGAATTAAAAAAAAATAATTGTTTGAATATTATGGAATTTTGAGTAGTTGAGTAAAAATATTACCTATATTTTCAGCTGATAAGCGTTTWAAAAAAAAAACAATTCTAATACTATTATATTATTATTTAAACAATATCCATTTAATATTATGAAAATAACATTATTCCTGTTGTTTAATAATCCCTATCTTTCTCTAATTTTTACTAAGATTTTCTAAAATTATAAAAGGTTTGGTAGTTTTAACACTGTTATGTAATATTGACAATATTGTTCATTAAAACTATTGAATGGATTCAAAAGTGAGTTCTTACTATTTAAGAAATCTTGATTGTTTGAAAAGGTTTTAAGTATACCTACTTCTATAGATCTAACTTTTATTTCTGGAAAATTGATKAATGAAATTGGATATGYCCATGGTGCATTTGTCTGGTTTTTATAACGGCTTAAAAAAAWTTYTTCATAATCATTCACTAGATATTATGTTTGTTTTACCGTATTAAAAATATWCTAATTTATTTTTTCTTGGGTGAAAGTACACATAAATCAATWATATCATGAAGTTATTACATTTAAACCAAAATCCAAAATATACCTAGTGCTATATCCAATACAAATTTGYGCACAAGCCACAAAGTGAGGTAAACCAATGCCGAGTTTCCCTAGAACACAAGTTATTTACACTTAAACCAAATAACACTGAATGCCAGATTTTATAATTGTTCATTTATCCTTTGATTAATCTTAGCTAGTACAGCTAGTATATCATATAATAGGTTAGGTAATAAAGAAATATAATTAAAGTTGATCAAACTTTCATTTCTTGATAATCCACAAAAAATATTGCAAATGAAATAAGAGCTAAATAATATTTTTACTGGCGATTTTATTATAACAGAGCAATTAATTTAGTCCATGAAAGACGTAGAAAATATATAGTTTATAGCTAAAATATTTTGTATAGGTAATATAAATAATGCAATTTTTCGTCATCAAAATGTGTGTATCATTGTGTGTTCTTAGTTCCTTACAAGTTACAAGTTACAGCAAAAGAAAGATCTAAATAGTCTTTGCATTAAAATTACATGTWGGTTTTTATTGCATCTGCCAAATTTTTAGTAGGTACTACACTCCTAAGAGGAATAAAATTCATCATGATAGATTAGATAGACAGGCATACTATATTTTTAAGGTTCTTTAAAATTATTCAGAAAATTATATTTTGTTAATTTATTYTTTCACTAAATAGTTAGATAATTATACCTAACTTATTGAATTTCAAGATCAATTATATATCTATCTATTTTATTATTATTTTCATATATAGATGTCCAGTCCATACAGTAGCCGTGAAAATGTACAATCACCACTGCAGAGTCCAAGTATTGCTGGTTCACCAATATCGAGTGTTTATCAAACATCTAGGAAATCTTCTCAGACCAGTACATCTGGACTATCTGGTAAAATTTTTATATATGTTTAACTATGAAAAACATATTATATATCAATATATACAATGTGTTTCTTTTAACCCTATACAGTTATAGGAATAGGATAAATAAGTACTAACCTAATTAATATACTTTYATAATCTCCATTCATCAAATTTATCAATAAACTATAAAATATGTTATTTCTATTCAAATATATATGTATTTAAATTTACCAATACCAGAACAATTAATTTGCACACAAAAATATTTCCAAAACCAGTTAATATGTATTTTTTGAGAAAATGTAAATGTATTTTTAAAAGAATCACTTTGTATATGATAAATACACACTTGAAGATACTTTTCTCAAACTGTATTACTTTTAACTAAATCATAATATTCAACATTGTTGTTTAGAATGTAAAAATAGTGGAGCTGGAAAATTTTCCCATGAATTTTCATTGGTTGATGATGGTGAAGGATCAACTTCTAATCCTTCTTTAAATGAAACGTTCAATGATTTAATAAATATCGAAAACAATAAACAAGAACAAATTTCAACAAATCCTTTTTTGGAAAACGAAGTAAATAATAATAATTAKTATTATTATATATTTAAATTTATTGTACATTATATGATTTAACCATGGTAAATTTTGTATATGATTTTAATTAATTTTTACTTATAATATATAAGAAWATATATAATTTATAAATTKAATGAAAAGCTGCTTTCAAAAAGATCTGACAACCATATGTTGTATCATCATGTTAGGAAATTATATTATGAGCAAATGTAAAAGTTCAGTAAAAATATTTTGGTAATTAGGTACTTTTAATTAATATTTTATTGAAATAAAAAAAAAATTTTAATCAAAATTATTTACATAGGTACTTAGTATTATAAAAATTACTTTTAAACTACTTAATTTGATGAAATTARTATAATKAAATCTTAAATAATTAAAACTAAAGCTTAAGACAAAATACAAATATTATTCACTACTCGTGCAAAAAAAATTAATTTAGATATATACTATCTCATATTTAAATGAAATATTTACCAATTCATTGTTAAATAAAGTTATGAAAGTTGAAAAAATGTCTATGAAATATTGACGCAAATTATAAATAAGTTGTGCATACTGTTTAACGGCTGCATAAATTGTATGTCAGCGGCCTAAATGCAGCTTCAAGTACATTAGAAACGTTAGAGTATAACCTAGGTATTTTGACGTTGATCAGAAGATTAAATCAATTATTTGCTTCATAAGCACATAGAAATAGAACTGACAATCAAAGTGATGCAGTGTTCATATGAGATTTATAAAATTTGATGGATAATTTGTGTTATTYAAATWATAATATTTTATGATGATAGAGAGCAATTATAGTCTTCACAGACATTTTTAATGTCAACACATTTTAACAATCTATACCTCAAAATAATACTGTACTTACCTGTAATTTATTAAAATTGGTTATTTGAATATTTTTAAATTTAAAAAATTAAAACACTGGGATACCAATACAATATGAATAATCACATATTTTGAATTAGATATAATGAATAATTGTATTGATGGTAAAATAATTTTAACCAAATATTTTTGGAGAGTACCTAAAAACACATACTCAATTATTTAGGGAGAATTATCATCCATTGGACCGATAGTAGTATCAGATGAATCCAGTTGTAATAGTAGTTCAGTTCTAGTTAAAAATCCATCATTTTATTTGAAACGGATGACAAATAATAACAGCAGAAGTAATGCATCATTCTTTCGAAGTGCTGTATCAGACAGCGAACTTGATAATACGGGAGTAAGTATAACGAAAAGCTTAAATTGTTTCAGTGAATTAGAAAACACATATAGTATCACATTTTATTAAAATTAGTACTTAACAATTTAAAATAAACCTAACAAAACCTAAATTATTTTAGACTTTACTTACAATTAAAATATAGAAAACAAAATATTTCCCATTACAGCTTTTCAAGGCAGCTAACAAAAATCGCACTCAAAGTATTTGGTCCAGTAAATCATCACTAAGCGCTGGATTTCGATATCATGGAGGTAATTTGTTAAATACTGCATCTGGGTTCCCTAGTCCAGAATCGGGGCGTACTTATTTGTTTGAAGGTATTTATATACATTTATGATTAAACATTTAAAAAAATATTAATTATTTAAAATAAAAAATGTAAAAAAGACAATGGTTAAAAAATAAAATTATAGTTATAATAATGTTATAAAGGTATAATTGGAAAAGAACGTAGTACAATTTGGGATCAACTAAAATTTTGGGAAGATGTATTTATTGATGCTGTTAGCCAAGAGAGAGACATGATAGGCATGGATCAAGGACCAATAGAAATGATGGAAAGGTCTATAATAATAATAAAACTTATATTTTTGAATTGTTGATGTATTAATAATCATCTAATAGGTATAAAAATCTTAACCTAAGTGAGCGGAAACGCCTAGAATACGATGAAGACAAGCTTCTATCCATAATGATATACAATTTAATTGCATTTATGATCATGGTAAATGTTCCAAAGGAAAGCATCATGAAAATTGTTAGAACTTTAGTCGGGAAAAGTAGAGTAACAAATTGTTATGCTACTGAAATTACAAGCCTTATGTCTCAACTATCCAATTTGGTAAGTTCCAACTTCCAACATGCTTAATTTTTTATTTGATATAAGCTTACCAACCATAGATTCTACCATTTTTGATATATTAAATAACTTGATAACCTAGTTTACTGTAAAAAATCTATAAAAAAAAAATTCTTACTCAAAATAACATTAAATATTTCAAAATTATTGAATAAGTATACCAATTAATTTATGGATAAAATGTAATAGATTTAAGGTTTATTGATATTTATATTTTTTTAAATTTAATAATGTTTAAAATTGTATGTGCTTTGCTTCTTCGTAACTATAAATTGTTAACACTACATTATATAAACAATTATAATTTAAACAAGGATAATTGATTGGGAGGGGGATAATGATTGCTACTCGTTGCTATACTTAATAGCATAAAAAAACATACACCTAATCTAAATTACTATATTTTACGATATTTATAAACATTTTTAGTTTTCAGTTTACCTACTTAGATTTTGTTCTATATCAATAAAACTATTTTTGATTGGTAAAAAACTTATCACAGAATTCCTCATAAGTTGCTATTATAACAATTTTAAACTACTAATGATATACTTATAGGCAATTTTGTTTTTTATTATTCAAAGTTCAAATTTTGACAAGTGTTCAAAAAATTACAAATCATTTTGTAAGTGATTAAAACCTTATAAATGTTCAATTTTTATAGCTAAGACTTGAAATAAATTTAATATAGTGAAAACTCCATTAACAGGCAGCTTTAATTAACAGGCATATCTCAATAAATAGGCAAAGATTACTTTAACCTAGGTACCTATCATAATATGATAGTGATATAAACTTATAGGTCATCTTGATCAGGATCGTTTTTCGAAGGCAATGATTTGTCATTGAATTCCAAATTTAACACATTCATTACAGTGGTCCTGGCCCACTTAACATCTTATCCCACATTATGTTTATATTTAAATTAAACTGGTATTAAACTCTATTCTATATATTTTATACAGCATACAATACTATAGTACATTTTGGTCTAGAGTTAATTATTTGATTAATATTAAAACAAAACTATTTATTTTGTGTACTATATAGAATGGCAATGACGTTGATTTGAAGCCATCAAATTCAAGACAGGCACATAGGCAAAGCTTTGCTGTACATTGTGGTGATTCTACTGGGGAATTGTTGTTCTTAGAAGTTAGAGATGACGGACTAGTTCTGAGATCAGTTAGCGGAGTGATTGTCAGTAGATGGTGGTATGAACGCATTGTAAACATGACTTACAGCCCTAGAAGTAAAATATTTTGTCTTTGGAGAACCGCCAACGGTGGTCAACTTCAACTGAACAAATACTATACAAAAAAAGTAAGTGCTAATTACATTACCAACCAACTAAATAATATATTCAATGAAGTAGTGAACTTAAATTTTGTAAGCAGAGTCAAATATTTTTATCTAAGTCTCATTCACTAGGTACAATTGGGGGGGAAGCATCACGTGTGGGGAGAATAATTGTGTTTAATTTACGGG